AGCTGTGTAGCTGATATTTGAGGTATGCTGTGTAGCTGATATTTGAGGCTAGCTGTGTATCTGATATTTGAGGCTAGCTGTGTAGCTGATATTTGAGGTAAGCTGTGTACCTGATATTTGAGGCTAGCTGTGTAGCTGATATTTGAGGCTAGCTGTGTAGCTGATATTTGAGGCTAGCTGTGTACCTGATATTTGAGGTAAGCTGTGTAGCTGATATTTGAGGCTAGCTGTGTATCTGATATTTGAGGTAAGCTGTGTAGCTGATATTTGAGGTAAGCTGTGTAGCTGATATTTGAGGCTAGCTGTGTAGCTGATATTTGAGGTAAGCTGTGTAGCTGATATTTGAGGTAAGCTGTGTAGCTGATATTTGAGGCTAGCTGTGTAGCTGATATTTGAGGTAAGCTGTGTAGCTGATATTTGAGGTAAGCTGTGTAGCTGATATTTGAGGTAAGTTGTGTAGCTGATATTTGAGGTAAGCTGTGTAGCTGATATTTGAGGCTAGCTGTGTAGCTGATATTTGAGGTAAGCTGTGTAGCTGATATTTGAGGTAAGCCCTAGGCCTGTAGCTGATATTTGAGGTAAGCTGTTTAGCTGATATTTGAGGTAAGCTGTGTAGCTGATATTTGAGGTAAGCTGTCTAGCTGATATTTGAGGTAAGCCCTAGGCCTGTAGCTGATATTTGAGGAAAGCTGTTTAGCTGATATTTGAGGTAAGCTGTGTAGCTGATATTTGAGGCTAGCTGTGTAGCTGATATTTCAGGTAAGCTGTGTATCTAATATTTGAGGTAAGCTGTGTAGCTGATATTTGCTGCTAGTTGTATAGCTGATATTTGAGGTAAGCTGTGTAGCTGATATTTGAGGTAAGCTGTGTAGCTGATATTTGAGGCTAGCTGAGTATCTGATATTTGAGGCTATCTGTGTACGCAATATTTGAGGTAAGCTGTGTAGCTGATATTTGAGGTAAGCTGTGCAGCTGATATTTGAGGTAATTAGCTGTGTTGCTGATATTTGAGGTAAGCTGTGTAGCTGATATTTGAGGCTAGCTGAGTATCTGATATTTGAGGCTATCTGTGTACGCAATATTTGAGGTAAGCTGTGTAGCTGATATTTGGGGTAAGTTGTGTAGCTGATATTTGAGGTAAGCTGTGTATCTGATATTTGAGTGTAGCTGATATTTGAGGTAAGCTGTGTAGGTGAAATTTAAGGTAAGCTGTATACCTGATATTTGAGGTAAGCTGTGTAGCTGATATTTGATGCTAGCTGTGTAGCTGATATTTGAGGTAAGCGGTGTAGGTGAAATTTAAGGTAAGCTGTATACCTGATATTTGAGGTAAGCTGTGTAGCTGATATTTGAGTGTAGCTGATATTTGAGGTAAGCTGTAAAGCTGATATTTGAGGCTAGCTGTGTAGCTGATATTTGAGGCTAGCTGTGTATCTAATATTTGAGGTAAGCTGTGTAACTGATATTTGATGCTAGCTGTGTAGCTGATATTTGAGTTAAGCTGTGTAGCTGAAATTTGAGGTAAGCTGTATACCTGATATTTGAGGTAAGCTGTGTAGCTGATATTTGAGTGTAGCTGATATTTGAGGTAAGCTGTGTAGCTGATATTTGAGGCTAGCTGTGTATCTAATATTTGAGGTAAGCTGTGTAGCTGATATTTGATGCTAGCTGTGTAGCTGATATTTGAGGTAAGCTGTGTAGCTGATATTTGAGGAAAGCTGTATACCTGATATTTGAGGCTAGCTGTGTATCTGATATTTGAGGCTATCTGTGTACCTGATATTTGAGGTAAGCTGTGTAGCTGATATTTGAGGTAAGCTGTGTATCTAATATTTGAGGTAAGCTGTGTAGCTGATATTTGAGGAAAGCTGTGTACCTACCATTTGGAGTTGACTTGACTGCAGTTCCACCAACCAGGGAGAGGTACATTTTAGCTCAGGCAGCAGCAGGAATGGCTCCTCAATCTGAATAGCTTCTATCTGCTCAAACTAACAGTAACACAGCAATCAACTTATAATTAAGTAAGTACATCTGTAAGCCTTCAACAGTAAAAGAAATTTCTTAATTTTTTCATTTTTATCTTTCCAGTCAATTGATCTTCATACGTATGTGTGCTACCTTACGTGTACCACCACTTACATATGTGAGCTATCCATGAAAATAATATATAAGGTATGTAACAACTCCAGATATATGTAACAACTCCAGACATCATCATGGTGACTAATTCAAAATTTATGAGGAACTGACTGTTCAAACAACACTATTTTGCTAAAATGTACAACAACTATGAAAATGAAAAACAAATTAATAATAATCATACTGCCTACCTTTAATGAGTTGAGTTTTACAGACACCTCGAACGGTGTGACTGTTGTCAAGGAGATGGTCTCATTTTGTTCACAGGTACAGGTGATGATCTGCTGCGTCTTGGTAACAGCCACTGTATACACCAACTGTTAACATACATGTCTCTGTATACACCAACTGTTAATATACATGTCTCTGTATACACCAACTGTTAACACACACGTCTCTGTATACACCAACTGTTAACATACATGTCTCTGTATACACCAACTGCTAATATACATGTCTCTGTATACATCAACTGTTCACATACATGTCACTGTATACACCAACTGTTAACATACATGTCACTGTATACACCAACTGT